TCTAGTTGCTGTATGTGGGACGCGGCCTCAGCATGGCCGGAGAAGTGGTGCGTCGGTGCGCGCCCAGGATCTGAACCAGGGCCGCCAGTAGCAGAGTGTGCGCACTTAACCACTAAGCCACGGGGCCGGCCCTATTCGTCCTTCTATTGGTGGCATATGGTACATACTTGAGGCTCAATAAGTGTTTGCTGAATTGGAGATTTACTGCTTGGGCCACTTGAGAAAGCAAGACTATCTGATGTTGCCCCAATATGGCTCTGAAAAGCAAGAAGTTCCTATCACTAAAGAGAAAAAGCAATGTTTGCAGTGAATGACTAACAACTCCACATAGAAGGTGAGATGGCCTAGAGAGCTGCATGTATACAGCAAACTCACTGAACAGCAATCACCCCAGCCAGCTTGTTCCTCTCCATTCTTGACCACAAGTGAGTTACACACACACCTAAGGTCAGTCTCACTCTGTGCTTGTCCAGTGAAGCATGTGTACGATATGATCTTTACACATTCTATGAGCAACTATTCAACTGGGGCCTTATTATGTTCAAGGCACTGGATGTGTGGAGAGGGGTGCATACAAAAAACCTTAGATAAGGAACAGATTTTCTAATGGAGGTACTCAAGAAAAATGAGAAAGGGAACTGACATTTGTGAATGTTTATTATGGCAGAGTAAAATGCCATGTGCTCGTCAAATCAATTTTGTTTTCTTCGTGGGCGACATTTCCCAGACTTCTTACAGTTCAATTCCTATAGTAGAGTTGATGTGGCTAATGGAATATGGGTGGAAGTGGTGAATTCCACCCCCAGGCCTGGGCAATACCAATCTCCTGCATATGAATCTCCATTCTCCCTTGCAGTGACCTTGGAGGCCACATGTCAAAGACAATGGTGTCAAAAGACAAGAGGAGCCTGGATTCCCGGATGACTGCGTGGAGCACTCTAGACTCCCTCCACCACTCTAGCTGCAGTCTACACTGAACTGTGCTTTGGGGGGTTGTTTGTCACAGCAGTTAGATCACCCTGAAAAATACTCTGTTATGAGCTGGATGTGGCACCACACACACACACACACACACACAAATGCCAAATAAAAAATAGCTTAGGGATTTGTTAACAACATAAATTAGGTATGATAAACCAGAATGACTACTGGGCTGGGGGTGAGGCTGTATGAGTTCAACTCCTGACTCTGCCACTCTTTAGCCATGTGACCCCGGGCATGTCTCTTAATTATAAAATGAGAGTATTGGACTAAGTGAATGGTAAGAGCCTTTCCAGCAACATAGCTTCATAACCCCATGGCTATTAGAACTTCATCACAAGAGAGGCTTGGTTAACTGCCAAATAAAGAGCATCAACAATCAAATGAGGAGTCCAAGAAAGACAGAGAAAGGGATTGGGCTGGCTTGGAAAGGCCTCAGAGAAGATGAAGAAACAGAGTGGATCTTGGAGGGCATATACAATTGAGGTAGAGATGAGTGGGGTAGAGGGTATTGCGAGCAGCAGAAGTCCAGACAGAGTACTGGGATTACACCAAACTGTTTAGGAAATGGCGATCTGACTGATGAGGCACAAGGAGCACTTATGTGCAGAGACATAAGAAATTAGGCTGGAAAAGTTGGCTTCATCCAGAACGTGGTCTGGACTTTATTTTGCAGTGGGTGGTAAGGGTGAGGCATGGAAGGCGTCTGTGAAATAATCTCAGGATATTCAGCAACAGTACAAGGGACTGTTCAGACTTAAGGAGAAAGTCATCAGATACAGAGACCAGGCAGGGCACTCCTGCCATGCTGGATTTGTGAGGTAATAATGGGGGCCTGCGGTGAAGGGACAGATGGATGAGGAAAACTTAAAAAAAAAAGAAATTGATAAGTCTCTGTGCCCAACATATGTGACAGCTTAAAGAAGAGAGATGACTGAAATTTCTAGTAGGTGATGGGCAGACTGGTTGTGTACTTCGAGAGAAATAAGGAAGCCAGAAGAGGGCACAGGTTTGGGGGGAAAGATGACACAGGTGGCTTCAGGCATTGTGGCTCTAACATATTTTCCAATAGGAAGGTCAGACACAAGGTCTGGAATTGAGAAGACAGCCCAGGCTGGAAATACAGATATGGAAAAACCACAATTTGCCAACCACGAGAGTCCAGTATTTCTCTGCTCTTGCCCTTCTCTTTTCTCCAGGGTCTTCCAATTGCTGGTTTCCACCTTTCAGGCCCAGCTCAACTCAGCTTAGCCTGGAACAGGACACGGGCTCAGTGCTCACATCCCCTGATGTTGGTGTGTGCCTTGACTGACCTTTCCCTGCTCTGTCAACTCCTTGTCAATCTTGAACTTTATGCTCTGGGTTTCAGGCACGTCGAGTACATTCATGGTGCAGCATCCTCTGCTCTCCACATCCCTGAGATATCAGACCTATTAGGGAACTACCTTCCACTCTCATTTTGCTCAGTTCTGAAAACTGTCTACATTATTCCAGTTAATTTCATGAGTCCTATCTTTAGGCCCATTGTCAGGATTCAGTGTGGAGCAACCATTTAACAATGGACCTCCTCTTCCATCTCTTATAGGGGCCAACTTAAGTATCTTGTTGAAGACCACCCAACTTCCTGGCTGGTTACTATCATTAGAGAGTGGGGCAGGTAAAAACAGGTTAGTAAATGGGTCTAAAATCTGCAGGAGAAATGAAAAGTCCATTGGTGGAGTGGGGCTGGGAATACACATGGGGTCTTAAGCAAATCTGAAATAGCGCTAACAAATCAGTTAAGACAGAGTTAGGGTAAAATCTATGAAACTATAAGAAACACAAACTTGATTAAATTCTAGATGTGGCCAATGGTACAGATATAAATGTACAAATATTAGGCTCCTTCCTGGTCTAAAATTGAGCTTGAGGGTACAGCACATAAGACACCTTCCAAGAAACAGATAAGGATTTAGGGGGTCACAGTGAACGCTGGGAGTTGAGTGAGCCAGTCCCATAGCTGAAGAATGGAAAGCAGGAATTACTCTAAAGAGACGAAAAATCCCTCTCTCATAAGAATCATGAGCATCTTAAGAAAACCATGCATACTAGATTCTATAGTTCAATAGTATGTCCATGTTGGGTAAAACAATATATACATCCTTTTTTTGCCAAGTAAAGGCAGCTCTCATCCTACTGCCACTTTCAAAAAGAGAAAGTTGTAAAAAATCTAAATATGTTCTCAAGAAAATTTCAATTTTAGAGGACAATATTTACACACTGTTTGGAATTCCTTTTCCCCGAGATGTGGGTATACGTATCACTTTATCTCTCTTGCTCAGCCATTCAGCATACTTCACCATTTCCTCCCCTTTCTAACAGCATGCTTAGCCAGGAAAACCAGTCACTTCTTTAAATGTCAGGTGGTACCACAGGCCAACGCCCAGGCACTGGTTAAGCAGCAGAGTCCACAACGGCTACTCGGCTGCAGGCTGCTTCCTACAGCAGAGGGGACGAGGGGAGCTGCTGCTGGTCTGACGGGCTGTACCCACCTCCTGCACCAGCGCACCAGAAGCTTGTGTCCACAGAGGACTCACACCTTCCTGTCGTGGCTCCAGGGGACAGCACCCTCCATACCCAGTGCCCGGAAACTGACTTAGCCACACCCGGCACCCACCAACACGTCATGTCCTTGCTTCTCCACGGCTGGTTGGGCACAGGTGGGCTTTGGAGGTCAGTTCCTCACCACCTCCCAGGCACCTCTTTGTCCTCCCTTCAGTTGCAAGGTGTCTCCCACTCCCCCCACAGAGCTGTCCCCATCCTGCTGACCTGAGCCCTAAGAGCCCAAGGGGCTGCCCCAGTGTCTGCCCTCTGCACAGCTGGCTGAGAGTAGGTAGATGATGCAGCCCAAGGCACCTCCAAGTGGAGCAAACCCTGTCTAGTGAAGACAAGCACTTGCCATCTTTAATAAAAACGAAACTTCCTGGTAAAGGCCAGTCATCTCAAATGAGACCTCACCTGGTTCTTTGACATGTTCTTTGGTCTTGGATTCCTGAAATCCAAACAATAAAGTAGCATTAGTAAACTACAATAATTTCTTTACATTAAGAAAATGTCCCTGGGAGCAGCCTGGAGCTGTAGGGTCAATAGAAATGATCATGAAAAGCTCTGGCAATGATGCTGTTGAAGGCACCTCATCTCTAGTGGCAGATCCACCCAGCACAAAAACCACTGGTAAAAACGAGTCACAAATAACAGAAACCCCAATGAATACTGAGTGTTTGGGATATGGGCTAAGACCTAAATCTTTTACCCATTTACCATGTATTGAGTGTTTACTATTAACAAGCACTGTGCCTTGTGCTTTACAGAGGTCGTCTCATTTAATCCTCACAACAATCCCCCAGGGTAGAGACTATTACTATCCCATCTGACAACTGAGGAAATACTTGGTGCATGCAGTATGGATCGCCGTCCCCTCAAAACCATGTGGAAATAAAACAGATATAGCACGTTCCAGCTTAAAGGCACCCAGGACAAACAGACCCCAAATTTTACATCAACCACCCTGATTATAACCCCTAACTCTTGACTTTTCCAGAAGGGTCTAAAATCAAACAAAAAGTGCTCCCTCCTTCGTTATTCCAACCTACCCTATCCCCACTGTCACTCCTGCCACATCCACAAGTTGCTGTTCTCACTTCTGTTTGATTTATTCTTTTTGTTCCACTCTATTTTCCTTTTGTGATTCCCACCCCCACACACCCTGAGGGACACCCCACTTCCCTTTTACTCCTTTACTTACCTCTGTTGGAACTTTCCCCTCAAAGACATCATTTGGGACTGTGGGCAACTGGACAGTTAACTTGAATGTTCCTTTTCCTGGCCACACTAACTCGTGGTTCTCTCTCTCCAGAACTTTCTGCCGAACTAAAAGTAAAAAAAAAAAAAAAAAAGTCCACAGTCAAGCATTCTTTATTCACAAAATTATTCCATGATTTCCATAGGCTTCATCATCATCAATCAATGGCTTGGTCAGTTTCCCAAGAGAGGTCTTCGCAGTGAAAAGAGGAAAAGTTGAGCAAACAGACACAGATTTGAATTCCATCTTTAAACTTATATTTTTAACCTTGAGCATATTCCTTAATAAGCTTTACTTACAAAGCCTTGTCTACGAATAAGTAATTAACGAAGACTGCCTTGTACAAGTGTTACGTGGATTAAATTGAAGAAACGTCATAAAGAACTTAGTACAGGACCTGATGCTCAGTAGGCACTCAGAAAGGTAGCAATATTTCTTCTATACTGAAGGGAAATAGTGAAAGCATCCCTCATGGTGAGCCAGTGAGGATGGGCACTGGGGCATGGCATGACAAAGGTGTATTTTTGGAAGGGGACTCAGGAGACCACCAGCAGAATGCCCAGGAGCCTAGTTAAAAAGCTGTTTCAATCAATTCTTTAACTTGTGATGATAAGAGCCTCACATCCAATAGTAAAAGTAGTAGAAAAGAAGGGATGGAAGAGATTTTACAAAAAAGAAGAAAAATAGAATTAGCATATCAGGCAGCTGGGCTGCAGTGAAAAAACTGAACAGTGGATGTAAAAGTCCAAAGACCTGGACTCAAACTCCAACTCTGCCACAAACTAGATGAGTGACATTGAGAAAATATCTTAACTACTCTTGAGCCTGTTTTATCACTTAAAGCAGTGTCTGTGAATGAATTCTCTAACGCCCACAAGAGCTATGCAAATGTACGTTATAATTATAAGAGGAGCAGCCAGAGAGAAAAGGAAAATCAGTGAATCTCAGACCATGGAGAACACGGAAGGAGTGAGTTTAGAGAGGGGGCATGGTCAACATAGTCAAACGGTGCAGAAAGGTCAAAGTGAAGAGAAACCTTCGAGAATGCCCTGCTGCTCACAAGTGTGGCTCTGCCATGAACGCTGGGCTACCATGTTGTGTTCTGATATGGTTGGCCTGATAAGCTAAGGATATAGGTAAGAATCTTCCATAAAGAGGAGGTTGAATACTTTTCCCACCTCAACCATCCGTGAAGGGGTGGGGGAAGTGAGGTCTTGGATGACAGTGCAGAAACAGGCCCCAGAAAAAATGAGCAGGAACACCAGACTCTAATTTCACTCTTTATGAGAGGGCAGATGTTTTCACACAGACTTCTGAGGGGCTGTCCTAAGTTAAAGTGATGACTGAGGACTGGATGAGACCCCTGAAGGCAGAGAGTAAGCTAAGTTTTGTAAGCCAGGTCATCTAGAGTTATGGAGCTCTGGGATGCAAACCCTTTATTATTCCCTGGACTGTGGTGGAGTCCTATCCAGGCGTCTAAATGTGCCAGCCTGTTCTGAGATTGTGTGCAAAACATATGGGCACCACTATTTCAAGTGAGTAGCCAGTAGTAATATCAGCAAGTGATCCTCAATGAGGAGAAGGTGAATCTGGGAGGAAAAAGAGCTGAAACTCTGATACCCAGCTACCCTTCCCCATGTGGACAGCCTCCCTTCTGCACCAACTTCAGATCATCTACATTTAATGTTATTTAAGGAGAAGATGGCTTCCCTTATCCCAAAGAGACTGACAATAATCAGGAGCCAAATGATGACCAGAAAAGATGATCAATGTATGCATCTGAAACAGGGTTTAAAATCTTACAAGTCAATCTACACTCAACTTTTCAGAAATTTAGTGATCTGTATAAAAGTAAGACACAGCGTCCCAAGTGGTTCCTGTTTGCTTTACACTAATTTCTACAGAGAAGTGCTGGTGGGCTCATTCTTATGATATGAATTAGATGAATAAAGTCATGTTACACTGCGGGCCTGTGCCACTCCAGGCCACTTCCTGGCGTGGAGGGTGGAGGATATCCGGGCAGGAGAAGAACTAGGGCCCTAGGACTGCCAGGGCAGGTCACTCATTGTTAGCAAATTGCTGACAACTTGCTACTGAGAAAGCACTTCCTCTGATGGGAAACCAAAACTGACTAGGGGCTTTCCACTCCCTAAGAGCTTTCACCACAAAAGGTTTTGAGTTGTACTAAGTTTTGAGTTGTTGTGTTGGGGTTAACACAGGAGGGGCCACCTGAGCAGCCTGGGGATGGAGGAGGAGGGGCAGTGGGCTATGAGCTGGGAAGGAAGAAGCCTGACGGGGAGACTGAAATCGATTTTGCTTTGATGGCTAGAACAGAATGATGTTATCATCACAAAATTACATTTTGTGTTGTTTGTATTTATGCTGTCTGTATTCACTATAATTATTTCCCTTTTTGTTCATTCAGGGTTGTCAACAAACCACAGGGATTCTCAAACTTGAGCCCATCGGGGTCAGCCGGGGTGCTGGTGAAACGTGCAGAATCCCACCCGCCCACACCAGGTTCCTGAATCTCCAGGGCACAGCTGGGAATGCGCCTGTTTCACCTGCTGTGACTCGGAGGCAGGGGGTCTGTGGCCGCAATGTGGGAACTATTCCTGAGGATAATGGGATTCTAAAGAAGAAAGGAGTGTCTCTGTCAACAGTGATGTTGACAGTTGGAATCAAAGTGGTAAAATCGCTTGAGAAAAAGTGAAACCCAGGGGGAGATAACTCACACGGCACAGCTGCCCTTCGGAGCATTCCTTGGTGATCAGTCCTGGAAAACTTCATTCTTTGTTTTCATACGGGCTCTTTTCAAGCAGGTCTCCTGTCCCCTGCCCGCCTCACTTTCTCCACACCTATCTGTGCATTTTCCTCGGCTTTCATTCTTTCCTTTTCGCATCCCTGCCTAAAGCATTCCAATCGCTCTCATCGCCTTGTAAGCCTTCCGGCCTCTCCTCTGCCCCAAATGCTTCTCCAAATCCAGTGACAGGAAGGCGGCATCAGGGTGGTCACATCCTTGCCTAGGAGATTCCAGGGGAGTCTCGCTCTGGGAACAGCGGTCATGCACCTCCCAGCACAGACCTGGTAGGTGCCTTGAGCAGGCAGATAATTGCGGGGTACTTGTCGTCCCCCTTTCCTAAGATCGGGAGGAGGGGAGCACTCCGCCGCTCCAGCGCCTATCTGTCTGTCTGTCTATCTATCTATCTATCTATCTATCTATCTATCGGGAGGGAACTTCCTCAGCAAAGCCCCACACTCCTGACCCACGATCAACTCTGAATGTCACCCCTGCTCCAGTCTGAGGACCACCGTGAAACCGAGGGAAGAAGTACTAGCAGGCCCTTGACAAAGATACTGTGTCGATGAACAGCACACTGCCCCTCCCCAACAAGCCTCTGTATTTACACTCAGTGTGATTTTAGGCAGCCTCTGCCACCTCTGCCCCTCTCCCAGATGACCCCAGAACCACTGAGAATCCCCATGACCCGTGGGGAATCCCCATGATTCCTCCCATTGCTGAAACTCTTTCCTTCCCCACCTAAAAAATAACAGAAGAAAAGGCACGGGCTCTCTCTCTCTCTCCAGTGGAGCATTGGCTATTCCCATAGGACCAGTCACCGAATCCAGAACAGCCCACAAATAGGTACCTTCTGCCCCCACCTGACTGTCATTCTTACGGCCTCACTTGTCCTCACTTAGAATATTGCATGGACCTCTTAAAATGTCTGATTTCCGTGGTCTCTCCCAACAGAAATCAATGTACTTATTTTCAACCAAATTTATCTCCCTAAAGTATATTTGGACATGGCTCTCTCCTGCCTACCTGGGGGGAAACTTCATACTCTTTAGGGTCATACAAGTCCCTCTATCATCTCAACCCAGCTTTCTCTTAGCCTTCATTTCCTCTCCACCTCTTCACAAAAAGGAGGTTTAATAACAGAAGGCCTAAGGTTTTTTTTCAAGGGAAGATTCCCCCTAAGCTAACACATATTGTCAATCTCCCTCCTTTTTCCTTCTCTCTCCCACAAAACCCCAGTACATAGTTGTGTATAGTTGTAAGTTCTTCTGGTTCTTTTACATGAGCCACCGCCACAGCGTGGCCACTGACAGACCAGTGGTGTGGTTCTGCCCCCAGAAACCCAACCGGGCCCCGGAAGGGGAGCACACTGAAATTTAACCGCTAGGCCATCAGGGCTGGCTCAGATTTTTAAAATGTAAGCGCACCCTTTGCAATCTTACAAAATTTTCAGACCCCGCATGTTCCTTTTATTGTCCAGTCTACGGACCTTGCTGGAGCACAGGGATAAGCAGACAGCTCAATGCTCCAGCCCAACCAGCCTGAGGGCGCCCTGCATGTCCCCTGCGGATGCCTGTGCTTTCCTGCCCCTGACACACTTGTTCATGCAGTGAGCTCCCGCCTGAAGAGCTCTCCCTAACAGCTTGCCTATCAAGAACTGAATTCCCCTCAGGAGTCGGTTTAGATGCGATTCTCCCTGGAAACTTTCTCTTCCCTTAAAATTGTGTTCCCATAAACCTTTGGAGTTCGAGAACTGCTGCTTTAATAGGAAGAAGACAAAAACTGCAAAGGAATTGCAACTCTGCCAGTAACACACTACCCAGCCTTGTAAAATGAGGTGGGTGAACCCGCTCCCAGGCAGCTCCTTTCTGTTCTATCATACTAAAAGCTTAATTTAACCCATTCGCGCGGTTCTGCCGCCACCTCCAGGCAGCACCGGGAGCGCCTAGAAGCCCGCCCAGGGGGAACCGCAGCGGCCCCCGCGCCCTCTTCGTCCATTCTGCGGGCCCCCACGCCCTCCCCCACCGCTGCTGCTGGAGCCGCACGGATTCTCCCGCTGCGAGCCCCAGCCCCAAGCATCCCCTGCAAGCAGAGCCCCTTGTCCCCTCGGACCCCACCCCCTGCGCCCCTCACCGTCCTCCGGGGAGAAGAGCACCAGGAAGCGGGGCGGGCTGCCCGGCTGCTGGCGGACCTCACACTCCCCGCCTCCCGATCTCCTCGGGCTCTGGAAGTACATCTGCAACTTGGTGACCAAGTTCTTCGGGGGGTCGGGACCCCAGGACCCTTCGACCAGCAGCGGGAAGGGGCCCGGCGCAGCCATCCTCGGCTCCGCTCGTTCGGCGCCGACTGCCGCTCTCTCGCCAACTGACTGTGCCCCTTTCGCTTTCGATTCCCAGAAAACTCCTCCCCGCCCTGGGTTTCCGTCTTCGGCTGTAAACAGCTCCCCCAAGATTGACTAGTCACCCCCCAATTCTTCACCTTCACCTGTGGCCCACAGCAAAAGCTGCCCATCGCCACCCGGGCGTCTGGCCGCCCTTCCCTTTTGTATTCGCGTCCCTAAGCTCAGGGCACTGGGTGCCGCTCACCCAGGCCACAGCTGAAATCAGCACCTTTGGGTCCCGAGTCCCTGTGCTGACACAAAGACAGCTTCATTTTTGCCGCAGGCCGACATTTTACAAGAAAATAAAATGGCTGGACAAACTGTGACTCTTTAGAAATGTTTGCGGCCCATTTGGGGACTTTCAGCAGTCATTTAGTTGTCAGCATTTTACCTTGTTTTCCTTAATTTGCATCTGTTCCCTGATCTGTTAATATTTATATGTCTAGAAATGAGGGGTAACAGTGCATTCACAGTGTTTTATGGAATATTTACGAGGCGCCATGCCCTCAGGATGGATTCAGCAGACAGGGTTCCTGCCCTCACTGAGCTCAGGAAGCTGTGGGGACACAGGAGTTATGACAGTGGAGTAATTGCTCTTGGAAGGAATATACAGGTGTTCCTGGGAGGGGCTCCTAGCCCAGGTGTGGGGGCTCAGGGAGGGTTTATGGGGTGACATGTAACCTGAGGCTAAGGATGATGGGGGATGACCTTGGAGGGTTGAGAAGGGGGTGGTTCCATGATGTGATTTACTTCTACGGGATCACTCTGGCTGCTGTGTGCAGTAGAGCTGAGTCAGGGAGGCCAGCCAAGTGGCTACTGCAGTGTCCCAGGTGACAGATGAGGGTGGGAGAGACCAGGGTGCAGGCAGAGGAGGACCGAGAAAGGGTGGGATTCCAAATTGATGTTGAAGGCTCAGCTGCAGGACTTGCTGAAGGATGTGGACAGTGAGAGAGGATGCTCAGGGATGACCCCATGGGCATTCATGGTTGGCCTGAGCAACTGGTTAGATAATAGTGTCATCCACCAGATGGGAGCATGCGGGGTGGAGGGGCAGAGAGGTGGGAGAGAGCCTAGAAATGTGTGTATCCTTGACTGGCAATGAAAGAGTGTTTCAAGAGGAGATTGTCATTCCAATACTACCAGTATATCAGGTGAGAGAAGTGTCTCTTGGACTGCTGGAGACCTGCAAGGCACTGTCTCCTGGTGGGGGTGGGGTGGGGGGAGATGGCAGTGGATGGAGGAGTGAAAGGAAGGGAAGGAAGGGAGCAGCAAGCAGAGTCAGCTCTTTCTAGAAGTGTGACCCTGAAGGGGAAGGAGTTAGGCAGCAGCTTATGGGGTTATAGGATCAGAGAGTTGTTGTTATTTTTGTTTTCTGGCTCTTTAAATATTGTTAAGATGGTTGAGTCTTCAGCACATTTAAATATTGGTAGAAAGAAGTGAAGGGAAGGTTGAAGATACAGGTTGTGGGGGAAGGTGGGAGAGGATCCTAGAGGATGAGCCTCAGGAGGGGGACCCCTTTCCCGCTGCACCAGGAACAAGGCAGAGATGGAGTACAGAGGTAGGCAATTCTGAGTGACTGCTGATGGGAAGGTACGGCAGTTCTCCCCTGACGGATTCTGTTTTCTCTCTGAAGGAAGGGGTGAGGTCTCTTAAACTCTTGCCAAAATTAGAGCTGCTTCTCCCTGCAGGGCTGGACCTTAACATATTGTCTCTTAATCACAGTGAAACTAAACTTCAGGATGAAGAGAACCAAAGACCTGCCGAAGCGAGTTGACTGGGCTTTTGTTCCTGACCCACAATACCTGATGCTAAACAGTATTCAGATATTTTCTCCTGCCTACAGCTTTCTACCTGCAGGTAGCGCTCATCATCCAGTCCAAACCACCCTGGGCCTCAGCAGGAGGAAGTGGGGAGAACGTGGAAAGGCTGTCATGGCTGTCAGCCCCTCAGGGCATTCCCCCAAACCACAACTAAAATCAACACCCTCCTCTCCCCCAGAATTTGGGGGTCCAGAACTGGGCAAACAAAGTTGCTCTTTTTCCTCACATCATCATTTTACAAAAAATAAAATCAGAGTGAAACTAAAGCATTATTTAGAGTAGAAGTTTTAGCTGGCCATTTCTGGATTTCTTTCAAGAATTTGTTTAATTATCAGCAATGTGCCTTGCCACTTGAGGTCTGCTCTGCATTCCTGGGTGGACTGGGAAGGAGCTGTCAGAAGGTCAGGATGGCAGGTCTTGAAGCCAAGGAAAGAAAGTTCAAGAAGGAGCAAATTGTTAAACCTCATTAGGCCCTGAAGTCCCTTGTCTTCTCTCCTGAGTTGTTTTGACCCTATTCACTTGTTGAACCCCATCCCCCCTTCCACACTGTGCTTATCCCCCCTCACTTCTCTATCTCCAGTGAGTTCCAGACCCTCCTGAAACTCATTTCCTTCCTAGGAAGAAGTGTCCTCTCAGGGGCTGGGGGAGAGTGGCCCTCCAGCATAGAAGTGGCCATGTCCACATGGCTGCGCCTTGGTTCTCCTTCCGCCTCACAGCCATGGCTGATCTTAATATCACAACCCACATTTGCATTTTTGGGCTGAACTTCCCTTTCTCTATTTCATCTGAATTTCTCCTTTCAGCTTCTCTACAAACGTCCAATAACCTAGCATCAGGCTCCTTTCAACTTCTCTACAGATTAGCATCAGGCTCCCCATTTCTCCCACTGAAGTGTATGTTGGGGAAAGGGCGGCTCCCCACCTGTCCTGAGGCAGCGAGTTGTGAGCACCTCATGCCCACCTCTCCGCCTCACTTTGCTCCTGAAACTCCTGACCGGGTCCCTCTAAATAGGATGTGACATCAGAAGAAGTGCCACCTTCTCTGTTACCACTCTGAGTTCAGTCCTCAGAGGGAGTCGCCTGATGGACACACCCCAGTTTCTGGCCTCACTCCCGGTGCTCGGGTCCCTTTCAGTAGCTTCATCTTCTTCAGTCCTCCACAGAGAAAGTCTCCAGTACCCCTCACTCTGCCAGTACAGTAATCCCTAATGGTACGTTTTCCCAAATGGGGGTCATTTAGGTTCTCTAATAGTACAGTGGGGTGGGAAGTGGAAGGAGGTTCTGCAGAAGAGCCCGGAGTAGACTGGGTCTTTCCAAGTTCGTGTGAGATAAGAGTGAAGATCCTTCCTGGCTGTCCAGCAGGTAAACATTGAATCAGACACACATGTGTATGTCTTAAGCCCAGCATTAACCCTCAGACAGAGTACAATCTAGATCGTGTTTAAAAAGAAAAATATACAATATTTTACTCCCACACCATACCATGCATTATCTCCACCCGTGACATGCTGTTAAATATTGAACAACCAGCTCTCTAGGACAAAAAAAGAGTTTACATGCATGTCTTTGTTTATTATCAATTTTATGTATGTAAATGTTGTATAGCACGTACTTTACAAATAATAAAACATACAATATTCTTTATTGTAAATTTCAAATAGCTAATTGATTCTCACAGACTGTTTCAAAGATTTTTGCCCAACTCTTATATTTGTAGCCAAACTATGATTGCAATTACTGAATGAGTGTAGTTCTGACATAAATGTTGGTTGATACTTTTGTTTACATTAACAAGTGAGATGAAAATGAAACAATGAAGACAGAACTTCTCTTATTTGTTAGTGACATCAGTTCCTTTGCTGAATTGGATAATAGCTTTCAAATACTGGAAGAATATTTCCTCAAGCATTTGTGCTCTTTACAATGTAATGGCTGCAGACATGACACACTTAAATTTAAACTGCCTTATTAACATATTCTCCATCACTTTCTTAAGTCTAGACAATCAACAGAACAATAAAATCAAGCCCTGATTTGTAGTGTTTGCCAATTCCATGGTGTAATTCCCACTATGGCTGATATTAAGTTTCCACTGTGATATCACTGAATCCAGAACTGGGAAGAGATGAATAGTAGCACACCATTGTATAACACTTCTACCACACAGATGCAATAGACAGAACTCAAGAGTACAGATAATAGTAAAATGTAGTAAAGTAATTATAAATATAATTTATTATAAATTTATAAAAAAATAAATTTTCAGTATTTATCATCTTTTAAAAATATATTCTATTTTATTATAAGTTTATACAATGTAATTCTAAATAATGCTGGTTAATAACTGGCTCACAAAATTTCTGAAAATTCAACAATCAACTTTGGTGAGCCAGTATGAGCCTGCTCCAGCACAAAACTGTGCTCTTCTCCTGACAGAGGGAGTGTTGTCAGACAGAGCAGTCAGTACACTCTCCCAGCACCCCCTCAACTCCTCCCCACACACCTTAGTACAATCATTGTACTAATATTCTCCTGGTCAAATAGGTTTTAAAGCTGATTGCTTCCCTTCATTCCTACAGCCAATTGTCACCAAGACAAACATTCATTAAGCTATTCATTACTTTTGAGAAATCTGCCCTGGAAGAAATAAAAGCAGTAATGAAAATCACAAAACAAGGACAAATGTAGTAAAAAAGAAAAAGTGTAATAATTGATACAACAAACATAAAAAATTAATATTAACTCCATTTTTACTATGAGGAAACTGAGGCACAAAAAGTTTAAGTATCTTACCCTAAGGTCACACAGCTGGTGAACGTCAAGCTAGGATACAAACCCAGGATCTCTTGCTCCAGAGCTCAACATATGCTCTGCCCACAGCCCTTCTTCAGGGTAAAAACCCATCCCCAGCTGCTGGCATATCAGCTGTTGACAGCTCACAGCAGTGTCCCTCACTCGCCTTGCCTTTGCCTCCTCTCTCCCACCGAGGTCTCTTCATGGCAGAGAATATTTCTGTCTCCTACATTTGAGTCCAGTTCTGTCTCCAGGCCAGGTTAACTATATCATATCTACGTGGCCCAAATAACAAAGCCGTGGTAGGGAGGGTGGGGAAATGGGCTCTCGCACATATGGTGGGTGATTTGTCA